TGGAGTTGAATTGGCCGGGATTGGTTTTTGTCGTCCGTGGAGAGGGTGGGGAAGGCTGGGTAGGTGAGGGAGGGACTGGGATGGCAGGGATAACGCTGGAATCGATTTTTGTCGATCGTGGAGAGGGTGGGGAAAGTAGGGAGGGAGGTGGGGGCGATGGTTGATATTCCTGTAGTTCGGCTGGACGTGGAAGTTAGAGTTGAGGATGTAGTCGCGATCCTGATACTTGTCGGCCTGGTTTTCTGATGTTGAGTTAGCCGTTAGGAGGTGCTTCTGACGATGAGCACTGCTACTGGAGCTCGAAGATCCGACGTTATGTGGAGTTCTTCTTTTCCGTGGTCGCCATGTGTTGAGCCTTGTCGTTTTGCTCAGAATCATTTATTCTTCTTTTACGGTAGTATTTATACAGAGAGGGAAATGTAAGGAATGCAATAAAATGCAGCTAAGAAAAGATTTTGTCATAACATCGAAGGCAATTTTCTCTTAATTAAAAAGTGATTCATTAGAAAAGAACGAATCCAATACACTCCCACCCAAAAAAGGAAAATTACGGTGGGAATGTTACCTAGTTTTTGATTTTATAGTTTTTCTGGGGAACTGTGAATGGAAAGTCAAGTGTTTTCGTTTCTGACAGAATTTCAGCAAGCAAAGAATTAGGACAAACCCAAGAGCATAAAGAAATGTCATCTTGAGGCTCGGGAAGAAGTCTAAAATATTTGGTAGCCTTTCAATGAAACTTGAAATGAAGTTAGTTATAGTTTTGAAGTTAAGAGTATCCTTAGGTGATTCACTGAGGGCTGGTGGAATTATCTCAGTCAAGTAGGTTGCTTCGTTTACGAAAGCGAGTCGTCCTCTGAGAGTGGCCGTCGAAATTCCTCCTGGGCATCGTATTGTGCAGTTCTCCACAATGGTTGAGCTGCTGAAGTGAAACCGTACGGTAGAAATTTTTCCTTCTGGAGTGCATCGTACGAGCTGGGTATTGTTTGAGCACTCAATTTGTGCGGTTTCCTCACTTATCGAAGATGTACACGAGACATTTGTCCTCGCTCCTTGCGTGCAATCGTAACAGCCTGTTAGTTCTTCCATATTCACTTGGCAGGAGTTATTGTTGTTGTTGGCGGCGATGACTAGTCCGTTTGCTGATATTTGGACTGCGAGCGCGGAGCCAATCGTTGTCTTTGCCTTGACGGTGGAACCTTCATTGATTATCGCTATGTTAGTTGTAATTATTGGAAGTTTGTTGTGCTTGTTTTGTAGGAATGATGATACGGTTCCATTTGAGCATGTGCATACGACTAGGCTTTTTCTGGGGCTGCAGGAACAAGCATTTCTTGAGAAGAGACAGTTTCTGAATGATTTTGCGTCTTCTTTTGTCTTGCACTGCACTTGTCCGGGAGAATTCAATAGCAGATGTCCTTGTGGTGATGGTTCTATTCGGGTTGTGATGTTATTGTCCGTTAGAAAATAGCTCGAGAGTATCGGATAGCTTGGTGTAATCGTGCTTGTGAGAGTGAGCTGGATTTTGTTCCATGTGAGAGGTATTCCTGTAGTGTAGGTAGCGATTCCTTCTGCTTGAATGCTCCAGGTGGGGCATGAAAATACCCTGTATATTGTTGGTGAGGTGGGTATCGCGTAGTTTCTGTAGAAGAGGCATGTTGAGGTGCAGTAGAAACACCAGTTACACCAGAAGCATCCGCAGCTGGGTACGCAGTACGTATATCCAGGATTCGAGTTCGAGATGGTACTGAAATCAATTAGTTTCATTTCTGGCTTGAGCGATGAGCAGGTGTTTCCTTTGCAGCTTTCCGTGTTATAGCACTGATGGCGGGATTCTGTAAAAAACTTGTGGTCTCTTGTGAAGTATTCTGTCTTCTGTCTGCAGATGTGAGAGATCTGCTCAAGCCGGATGGCTACTGTTCCCATGATTCGATTTTTCTTGTTTTTGAGTATGAGACATGCTTCCTGTCCAATCGGCTGGAGTAGCAATTGCGTGACTTGATCGTATGTGCACCTTTCTTCATTGTTCTCCATTGTGCAATATGATGTCTCACCTTGGAGTGTTACTATATTGGAGCAGCACTGAGCAGTGGTCATGAGGCAGGCAATTGTTGCTATTATTCCTTGTATTTTCTTCATCCTTTTCTTGAGTCGGTATGATGGTCTTTCGACTTGGTAGCTTTGGGTTCTTCCTGTTATCCTCGCATACTTGGAGAAAACTGCTCGTAATATAGAATGGAGTGTATGGATTAGTTTTCCTCCGATCCAGTATAGTAGCCTGAAGATTGGTGTGCATAAGTGGAGGAGTAGCATTGATGCTACGAAGAGGATCAGGGATGCTGCTATTTCGAGCGCTGTCCAGCATTGGATATTGTACACCTTCTTCCAGCAGATATAGCATTGAAGTGTTTCACAGATTGGCTGTCCAGGGCAAGTTAGTGTTGACGAAAGTATTTTTTCACCATTGATCCAGCCATTGATGAAAACCTCGTATTCAAAGATCACTATCGACGTTGGGAATAGTATTAGAGTGTCGGTTTCGTAGCTTTTGATATAGACGCATGTAGTCGAGCTGCAGGCTTCCAGTATATCCAATATAGTTGTCGTTTTAACGGTTACTCCTCCTTTTTCGCAACTTGGAATCGAATAACTTGTCTTTGAGCTCTGGATATCGTCCTTGTGGCTGAAATATTCCTTTGGTACGGTTCCCCATGCACGTACAACTATGGATGAATTCATGAAGTCGAATGTTGTTACCGGTGAGTAGTAGACGCAGAAAACTGATTTGATAGTTGATGCGGCACAGTTATGGTATCTGCAGAATGCCGGCGATCCAGATTTTTGAGTTCCGATTGGGATCGGATTAGGTATCAATCTTCCATCGAAGGAAAAGCAGTAGTAGTCTTCTTTATTGAGGAAGTCCTTTCTTGTGAT